TGCCGCAGCAGCTGCTGCTGCTGCTGCTGCTGCTGCTGGCTCGCGGCGGGGTGTGCGGAAGGCGCGAAGCAGCAGCAAAAACAGCAGCAGCAGCAGCAGCAGCAGCAGCAACAGCAGCAGCAGCAGCAGCAGGAGAACTCACGCTAGCAACGCCGCCGGCGAAGACCCTGCCGGTGTCGACCAGCCACTCGCGGACGGAAGTGTCCCAAGCCTGAGTTTCACTTTCTCCCATTTTGCAAACTGAACAAATAAATAGAAAAGACTTCGAAAAGAAAACAAAAACTGGACAAAAAAGAGCTTTTAAGCTTGCTGCTGCGGTCTGAGCGCTGCTGCTGCTGCTGCTGCAGCTGCTGCTGCTGCTGCTGCAGCTGGCCGTGTGCGGGAGCAGCCGCTGCTGCTGCTGCAGCTGCCAGCCGCACCAGTCCGAAAGCACCCGCGCCGCAGCCGCAACTGCCCCAAAACTAAACCCTTTTTTGATTTTAAAATTGAAAATCTTTTTCTTTTTTAATTTCCCTTTCATTCAACTCCTCAGCGGCCTCCCAACTCTAGCGCTTCCAGCAGCAGCAGCAGCAGCGACTCGGAACCACCAGCAGCAGCAGCAGCAGCAGCAACAGACCGCCCAGCCGCAGCAGCAGCCCAGCCGCCACCGCCCCGGCCAGCCGCTCGCTCTCCAAAACCTCAAAAAACTTCTTCTTTTATTTATTTCAAAGAAACTAATCCAAAAAGTAACTCCAATTCCGCCAGAAATCTAAAAAAGCTGCGCGCAGCGCTGCAGCAGCAGCCCAGCAGCAGCAGCGCCGCCACTGCTGCTTCTCGCAACCACTGGCCGCTGCTCTGCTGCTGCTGCTGCAGCAACTCGCCCCCACTTCGCTTCCGCTTAGCCTTTTATTTTAGTTTAATAGAACAGCAAATAGAAGCCCGTGCTGCTGCTGCTGCCAGCTACACCAGGGGGCCCCCGGCGACTTGGGGGGCCCCCAGCAGCACGCGGGGGGCCCCCTCCAGCACACACGCCCCAGACGCAGCGCAGCAGCAGCAGCAGCAGCAGCAGCAAGCTGCTGCTTAGGCAGTTTAAATGTGTCTTTAGAGCAGCAGCAGGCGGGCCCCGGCCATGGGGAAGCCCAGGCGGGGCCGCAGCTGCAGCAGCCGCAGCAGCGGCAGCAGCAGCACCCGTAGCGAGCACTGCAGCAGCAACAAAGACAGCAGCAGCAGCAGCAGCAGCAGCAGCAGCGAATCAGATGTAGATATTGTTGGAGTTGGAGTAGTGGCCCCTAAGGGAAACCGGGCCCCACGCCGTAGAAAGCTGCTGCAGCAGCAGCAGCAGCAGGACAAAGGGTCCGAGGGCGAAGTGAGCTGCTGCAGCATCAGCAGCAGCAGCAGCAGCAAAACAAGCCCCGGTGTCTGTGAGCCCAGTGGCAGCGACAGCGATGACTGTGTCTTGGTTGCTGTTGCTCAGCAGCAGCAGCAGCAGCAGCAGCAGCAGCAGCAGCAGCAGCGAAACGGGGGTGCAGCATTCAGTGCGCTGCAGCAGCTGCTGCTTAGCCCATACCTAGCAGCAACACTTCTTGCTTTGCTGCCTTCTGCTGCTGATGTTCGGGGGTTGCTCGTAGCTGTGGGGTGCCCTGCTGCTGCTGCTGCTGCTGCAGCTTCTGCTGCTGCTGCTGCTGATCGTGCTGCTGCTCCTCCGGCGGCTCAACAGCCGTCTCAAGAAGAAGAAGGAGCTGCTCGTGATGCAGCAGCAGCAGCAGCAGCAGCAGCAGCAGCAGCAGCAACAGCAGCAGCAACAGCAGCGCTCTCAGCTGCGGCTTACAGAGAACTTTGTCTCAGGCGGCTCTCTTCAACCAGGGCCTCCAATAAATTTGCTGCTGCACTGCAGCAACAGCAGCAGCAGCAGCAGCAGGCAGTAGCAGCGATAGCCAGCGCAGCAGCAACACCAGCAGCAGCAGCAGCAGCAGATGCAGCAGCAGCAGCAGCAGCAGCAGCAGCAGCACAAGAGGGAGCAGTTCCGCCCGAGGCTGCAGCAGCAGCTTGGCGCCAAGTGTTTTGGGTGTATGTCCACCCCAGGTATTGCGACGCCTGCGGCAAGAAGGTGCGAGACTCTTCAGCAGCAGCAGCAGCAGCAGCAGCAGCAGCAGCGGCAGCAGCAGCAGCAGCAGCAGGTTCAGGAGACGCTGCAGATCCCGTTGGTTCTGCTCCTCCAGCAGAAGGGGGGGCAGCAGCAGCAGCAGCAGCAGCAGCAGCAGCAGAGTCTGCAGCAGCAGCAGCAGGAGAGACAGCAGCAGCAGCAGCAGCAGCAGCAGTGACACTGTGCAGCAGCTGCTGCAGCAGTTTGCTGCCCCGCAAAGCAGCAGCTTTTATTCTCCGGCGGCTGCGCTCTGACGAGCTGCTGCTGCAGCATCACCTGCGGCGCCGCCTCCGCAGCAGCAGCAGCAGCAGCAGCAGCAGCAGCAGCAGGTTGCTTTGGCCGGAGCGGGCCGCAGCCCAAGCAGCAGCAGCAGCAACAGCAGCAGCAGCAGCAGCAGCAGCAGCCTGGTGCCTCGGGGGACTCTTTGCTGCTAAAGACTTGCTTTCGAAACTCCAAGCAGCACATCTTGCTGCTGCTGGCAGCATAAAGCGCCGTTTGCTGCAGGGCCTCAGCAGCAGCTTGCTGCAGAGCTGCGGCCCCCTCTTCGTGCGGCAGCACATAGCAGCAGCAGTTGCTGCAGCAGAAGCTGCAGCAGCAGCTCCTGCTGCTGCTGCTGCTGCTGCTGCTGCTGCTCAGGAAGAGCCCCCAGGGGACCCCTTGGCTGCTCTCGCCTGCTTTGCTGCGGAAGCGCAGCAGGACGGAGCTGCAGCAGCAGCTACAGCAGCAGCAGCAGCAGCAGCAACAGCAGCAGCAGGAGCTGCTGCTGCAGCAGCAGAAGCTGCAGCAACATCCCCAGAAGGGGCATCGCCAGCAGCAGCAGCAGCAGGCGCAGAAGAAGCTCCCGCAGCGCCAGGCGCAGCAGCGCAGCAAACTGCAGCAGCAAGGGTTTCTGCTGCTGCTGCTGCTGCTGCTGCTGCAGGCAGCAGCTGCTGCAGCAGCGCAGCAAAGTCGACCCAGCGGGAAGGCCTTGGGGCTGCTGCTGTCTCCTTCTTTGCTGCAGCGCAGCAGCAAACAGCTCGAGGTGCTGCTGCTGTTGCTGTTGCCTTGAGGGGGCAGCAGCTGCTGCTGCGCGCTGTGGGGCCCAGCCGGCTGCAGCTGCTGTCGCTGCAGGCGCCTGCTGCAGCAGCAGCAGCAGCGGAGGCAGCAGCAAACGGGGGGACAGACGCTGCTGCTGCTGCTGCTGCTGCTGCTGCTGCTGCTGCAGCACTCTGCGACTTTAGCCGCGTTGAGCCTTTCCGCTGCAGCAGCCTCACAGCGCTCATTGCCTGCTGCTTTGCTGCGCTGCTGCGGCCTTTGCTGCTGCTGCTGCACCGGGACGCAGCAGCAGCAGCAGAAGAGCAGCAGCAGCAGCCAGCAGCAGCAGCAGCAGCAGCAGCAGCAGCAGTTCCCCGCTTTGGGCTGCGCCTTGACGACTTCTTGTGTGCTGCTATGACTGCCCAGAGGATTGCCAAGAGGTGAAACAAAACCCTAAACCCTAAACCCTAAACCCTAAAGCCTAAACCCTTGGCTTCGTTTTCCGTCCTAAGTAGTGACTCGTTTTAGGGTTTAGGGTTTAGGGTTTAGGGTTTAGGGTTTGGGTATTAGGGGCCCAGGGCCTTGTGGTTTAGGCTGAGGAGCGTGAGCCGCCGCTTCAGGGTTTAGGGTTTGGGGTTGAGCGTTTAGGGTCTGGAGTTTAGGGTTTAGGGTTTGGGGTTTAGGGTTTAGGGCCAAGAGCCACGACAAAGGGTTTAAAGAGATTCCGGTTGAGGATTTAGGGTTTAGGGTTTAGGGTTTAGGGTTTGGGGTCAAGGGCTCCAGCTATAGGGCCTAGGGTTTGGTGCCACGGGCTGCGGGACTAGGGTTAGGGGCTGCGGGATTAGGGTTTAGGGTTAGGGGCTGCGAGCTTAGGGTTTAGGGTTTAGGGTTTAGGGTTTAGGGTTTAGGGTTTAGGGTTTGGGTGTGCGTTTCAGGTTTTTCCGGCTGACAACGCATGCAGACTTGGGGGCTTTGGATATAATGTTTACAGAATGGACTGCAGCAAGAAGTTTGCTGCTGCGGCGGTGGCTGCGGCAGCAGCAGCTCAAAGCTGCTGCTGCTGCTGCTCCCCGGCTGCAGCAGCTCGCAGGGGGCCCCCCGGGGGGCCCCCCCGGGGGGCCCCCCAGGAAGAAGCGACAAGTGGAGACGCAGCAGCAGCAGCAGCAGCAAGGAGAGGACGGCAGCAGCAGCCAGGGAGCTGTGCCCAGCAGCAGCAGCAGCAGCAGCAGCAGCAGCAGCAGCAGCAGCAGCGTGAGCGGGCGTTCCGTTGCTGCTGCTCTGCGCCGCAGCAAAGGAAATAGGGGAAGTCGGCAGCTAGCTCATCCGTCGGCGGTGGCAGCTCTTGCTGCTGCCCTCAGCAGCAGCAGCAGCAGCAGCAGCAGCAGCAGCAGCAGCAGCAGCAGCTCGGGCGCCACCGAGGCAACTGGAAGAGCAGCAGCAGCAGCAGCAGCAGCAGCAGCAGCAGCAGCAGCAGCTCAGGGCGGCGCGCGTGCGCGTCGCAGCAGCAAGGTCGGCGACGATGAGTCTTCAGTAGCAGCAGCAGCAGCAGCAGCAGCAGCAGCAGCAGCAACGGGGGACAAAGCTGCTGTGACTTTGTACTCTGCTTTGCTGCTGGAAACTCTTTACTTTTTTTTGTTTGACGCGAAGACAGAAAAACCCCTGAGGCCCTATTCATGTACGCTTCAAAACCCTAAACCCTAAACCCTAAACCCTAAACCCTAGCCCTGAAAGGAGAACTGAGGGGTGGCTAGACGCTGCTGCTGCTGCTGCTGCTGCTGCTGCTGCACTTTTGCCGCCGTGTATTCTGCTGCTGAGTGCTGCCGCGCGGCAGCGACGCGGGCCGCCCTTTCGAGGGTTTAGGGTTTAGGGTTTAGGGTTTAGGGTTTGCCTGCTGCAGCGTTCGGCGCCCGCGCGATGGTCAGCCGCCTGTGGGGTCTTGCTGCAGACCCTCGAGAAGCTTCTTTGCTGTTTTCTCAAAAGCTGCTGGAGGACTTAGGGTTTGCTTTAGGAAAAGCGCAGCAGCAGCAGCAGCAGCAGCAGCAGCAGCAGCCGCAGCAGCAACTGCAGCAGCAGCCGCAGCAGCCGCAGCAGCAACTGCAGCAGCAGCCGCAGCAGCAGCAGCCGCAGCAGCAACTGCAGCAGCAGCCGCAGCAGCAGCAGCCGCAGCAGCAACTGCAGCAGCAGCCGCAGCAGCAGTCGCAGCAGCTGCTGCAGCTGCTGCAGCTGCCGGAGCAGCAGCCGCAGCAGCAGCAGCTGCTGCAGCTGGTGCACCTGAGGCACTCGCCGCTCTGCTGGCTCTAGGGTTTAGGGTTTAGGGTTTAGGGTTTGGGGCAACGGCTGAAAACTTTTGAATCAAAATGGAGCAAACGAAAACCGCCAAAAGTCCTCGAGGGTTTGGAGCTAGGGTTTGGAGCAAGGGTTTGGAGCTAGGGTTTGGAGCTAGGGTTTGGAGCTAGGGTTTGGAGCTAGGGTTTGGAGCTAGGGTTTGGAGCTAGGGTCTAAACCCTAGCTCAAACCCTAGGGTTTAAGATAGGGTTTGGAACTAGGGTTTCGAGCCAGGGTGAAGGCACGGCTACCCCATAGGGCTCAGGAGGGAATTTTTAGGGTTTAGGGTTTAGGGTTTAGGGTTTAGGGTTTAGCTATTTGAGAAGAGTGACAAACACTGGCACCAGCACAATGGCCGCAATGATGATCAGAATAACGGTGATCCAAAACATCCGCTGCACGTAAACCCTAAACCCTAAACCCTAAACCCTAAACCCTAAACCCTAAGCCCCAAACCCTAAACCCTAAACCCTCAAAGCGAGCCCTGGGCCCTTGGAAGCAGGCCAACAACCCTTTTGAGTAAACCCTAAGCTCTCAAGGTAAACCCTAAACCCTAAAAAGTGGTTTCCAAACCTCAATTGGACTTGAACTCCTTGCTGTAAACCCTTAGCCCTGACAAGTCAGGCCCTAGTAAACTAGTGCGGCCAAAAGCTAGGGTTTAGGGTTTAGGGTTTAGGGTTTAAGGGTTTAGGGTTTTGCGAACTTTGCTCAAGACGGCGTATGTCCCGGTACTTGTCTTGAATGCCGGCGGTCGCATTTCGCAGGGCTTGGTGCGTCTGCAGCACAAACCCTAAACCCTAAACCCTAAACCCTAAACCCTAATGCCTAGGCCCCAAACCCCAAGCCTTAAACCCTCGTATCTCCTGGAACTGCAAGTGCCTTCAATGGGGCAAATGAACTGCGCCGCTAGCCGGGAGCTCAACGCAGGGTTTAGGGTTTAGGGCTTAAGGCTTGGCGGTTAGGGTTTAGGGTTTAGGGTTTAGGGTTTAGGGTTTACGCACGCCGGAAACCCTCATCTTGATGGCTGTCATCGCCGTGAGCTCTCCAGAGTCCACGAGGGTTTCAACTTCTTCTTCAGGCACTTCCGGATAGACTGCAGCCCAAACCCTAAACCCTAAACCCTAAACCCTAAACCCTAAACCCTCGTTTTCAGCAGCCCCCATAGGCTCCCCGCTAGGGTTTAGGGTTTGGCGCGGGTTGCTTGCTGCTGCGGAATATCTCCGGAGCTCCCGCACGCCCGCCTGCGTCTGCAACCTAGGGCTTAGGGTTTAGGGTTTAGGGTTTAGGGTTTAGGGTTTAGGGTTTGGGACCTAGTTTGACTTGTCGAACGGCCTTCTTGCGGACCTGCAGCCTGTACTCGGCCTGCCGCAGCTGCAGCAGCTGCAGCTGCTGCTGCAGCTGAGCAGCAAGGGTTTGCTGCAGGTTTTTTCGAATTCTTAATTCGCTGGCGCAAAACCCTTTTTCGTTATCCGCTAATTTAGTGTTTTCAAACCCTAAACCCTCGATGGCCCTTTTGCTCTTCTGCATCAGAGTCATCGCCGCCGCCATCACCTTGTGCAGCTCGTGAGACACGTCTGCCCCTAAACCCTAAACCCTAAACCCTAAACCCTAAACCCTAAAACCCTAAACCCTAAACCCTAAACCCTAAAGAAGGGCGAAATGTTGCACAGCGAAGTCAACAAACTGTTCACCAACGCGGGGGTGTTTCCCGCGCCCTGCATAAACCCTAAACCCTAAACCCTAAACCCTAAACCCTAAACCCTAAACCCTAAACCCTAAACCCTAAACCCCCCTAAACCCTAAACCCTAAACCCTAAACCCTAAACCCTAAAACCCTAAACCCTAAACCCTAAACCCTAAAGAAGGGCGAAATGTTGCACAGCGAAGTCAACAAACTGTTCACCAACGCGGGGGTGTTTCCCGCGCCCTGCACAAACCCTAAACCCTAAACCCTAAACCCTAAACCCTAAACCCTAAACCCTAAACCCTAAACCCTAAACCCCCAAACCCTAAACCCTAAACCCTAAACCCTAAACCCTAAACCCTAAACCCTAAACCCTAAACCCTAAACCCTCGGGCGCGCCCCACGCGCTGGGCCGCGCCCTCAAAGCTCCCGTGGCTGCAACCCCTCGGCTGCGGGCGTCGAAGCCCTACGCCCCAAACCCTAAACCCTAAACCCTAAACCCTAAACCCTAGAAAACGCACCTTTCTCTTCATCAGGGTTTGTAGCTTCCACCAACTTCGCTTTTAGGGTTTGGATCTGTTCTGTCTTCTCTCCTATCTCAGCAAGAGCAGCAGAAAGCACTTGTACCTTTTTAAAGTACTCACACAAAAACCCTTCTTGGGGGCCCCCCTGGGGGCCCCCCAGGGGGCCCCCCTTCTAAGTCTGCTGCTGCGTCAGCAAGGGGGCCCCCATGGGGGGCCCCCCCTTGATGCATTTGTGCTGCTGCTTCTGGATGCAGCTGCAGCGCGAGGGCCTGCAGCTCTCTGAAGCGGTCCCGCATTCTGCAAACCCTAAACCCTAAACCCTAAACCCTAAACCCTAAACCCTGGGGCCTGGCCAGCCCTACGCACAGGGGAAGAGCGCACGAGTTTACGGGCACACAAGCAGCAGCAGCTGCATCCTGGGGTGCAAATTCATTAGGCACGCCAACAACTGCTGCTGCTGCTGCTGCTGCTGCTGCTGCTGCTGCTGTTGCTGCTGCTGCTGCTGCTGCTGCTGCTGCTGCTACTTGGGGCCACAGTGTGCTGCAACTGCCGTTGCAGCCTCTGCTTCTTGCCGGAGCCCTGCTCTCAGTTGCTGTTGCTGCTGCTGCTGCTCCTTTTGCCGCAGCAGCAGCTGCTGCTGCTTCTGTTGCTGCTGCTGCTGCTGCTACTGCTGCTGCTGCTACTGCTGCTGCTGCTCGTGGCAGCCGCCCCAGTGCGCAGCAGCAAAGCAAGCAGCTCAAAGAAGCTCTGGGCCCCCTGCTTCGCTGAAGAGGTCTGAGAATTTGAAACACCGCTGCAGAAAATTGAGGGTTTAGGGTTTAGGGTTTAGGGTTTAGGGTTTAGGGTTTGGGGTTTCCCGGCGAGCCTCCGAGCCACTGGACTGTCTTCCACTTTCAAACCACCAATTAGGGTTTAGGGTTTGCAGTTCAACTAAATAATTCTCCCCCTTTGGCAAATAAAAAAGCAAAAGGGGGGGCCCAGGAAGCCCCTGGGGGCCCCAGGGGGGCCCCCTGGGGGCCCCCTGGGGGCCCCCTTGGGGGCCCCCCTTGGGGGCCCCCAGCAGCAGCTGCGGGCAAATCTGCTGCGAGGGGTACTTGGATTTGAATTTGTTTTATTTAAAAATTAATTTAAAAAAGAAATAAAAAATAAAAATTAATTTTCCAGAAATGTGCAAAGACAGCTGCTCAGAAGTAGCTGCTTGTCCCGCTGCGGCCTGCTGCTGTTGCTGCTGCTGCTGCTGCTGCTGCTGCCAGCAACAGCAGCAGCAGAAACTGCTGCAGCAGCAGGAACGGAAGCAGCAGCAAAAGCAGCAGCAGCAGCGGCAACAGCCGCAAGGACGGCAATAGCAGCAGCAACAGCAGCAGTGAAGGCAGCAGCAGTAATGACAGCAGCAACAGCAGCAGCAGCAATGACAGCAGCAACAGCAGCAGCAGCAATAACAGCAGCAGCAGCAGCAGCAATAACAGCAGCAGCAGCAGCACGCGCCCATGCGCAGCTCACTCAGCCTCTGCTTCCGAGAGTGCCTGACCTAGCTGCAGCTAGCTACGGCTAGCCACAGCTAGCTACAGCTATCTGCGCAGAGCCACAGCTAGCAGCAGCTAGCCGCAGCTAGCTGCAGCTAGCTGTAGCTAGCTAGCCGCAGCTAATCACAATCAGCTACATCTAGCTGCAGCTAGCCGCAGCTAGCTGCGGCTAGGCACAGCTTGCAGCAAAGAGCCACAGCTAGCTACGGCTAGCCACAGCTAGCTACAGCTAGCCACAGCTAGCTACGGCTAGCCACAGCTAGCTACGGCTAGCCACAGCTAGCTACAGCTAGCCACAGCTAGCTACAGCTAGCCACAGCTAGATACAGCTAGCCACAGCTAGCTACAGCTAGCCACAGCTAGCTACAGCTAGCCACAGCTAGCTACAGCTAGCCACAGCTAGCTACAGCTAGCCACAGCTAGCTAGTCTACCCACTCCAGTCCCAGCTAGCTACAGCCAAACACAGAGACCCGCAGCTAGCCATGGCCGGGCCCAGCTAGCTACAGATTGCTTCAAAGAACTGCAGCTAGCCACAGCTAGCTGCGAGGAGCTGCAGTTGGCCAAAAGCAGGTCTAGCTATCTGCAGCCAGCTAGCTGCAGCCAGTTTGCTGCAGCTAGCTAGCCGCTGCAGCTAGCTGGGACTAGCTGCAGCTAGCTGCAGCTAGCCACAGCTAGCTACAGGCAGCAGCCACAAATGGCTGGGGATAGCTACAAATAACTACAGCTAGCTGCAGCTAGCTGCAAATGGCCGCAGCTAGCTGCGGCTAGCTGCAGCTAGCCGTAGCTAGCTGTAGCTAGCTGCAGCTAGCTACAGCTAGCAGCAGCTAGCTGCAGCTAGCTGCAGAGAGACACATATTGCTGCAGCTTATAAAATAGAAAATCCCTATGCCTTCGGTGGCGTTGGAGCAGCAGCGGCAGCCAAAACATTCAGTGTTGCTGCTGCTGCTGCTGCTGCTGCTGCTGCTGCTGCTGCTACTGCTGCTGCTGCTACTGTTGCTGCTGCTACTGCGAATGTTGCTGCCGCGGGCGCTGCTGCTGCTGCTGTTGCTGCTGTTGAACAAAAAACTTGGGGCGGGCCAGCTAAACCCTAAACCCTAAACCCTAAACCCTAAACCCTAAACCCTAAACCCTAACTCTAACCCTAAGCCCTAGATCCTGCCGCTAAACCCCCAGCGCCAGCCCCAAACCCTAGGGTTTAGGGTTTAGCCCGATTGAGGCCTTCCTCGGGAGCAGCTGAAGAACTGCGACCTAGGGTTTGCGCGCTAGGGTTTAGGGTTTAGGGTTTAGAATTAGGGTTTAGGGTTTTACATTCGTATCGCGAAGACGGCAGAATCTGCTGCAGCGCAGCAAGGAGCTGCCTGTACACCGCAGCAAGTATCTCTATAAGCTGCAGCTGCTGCCTTGGGAACACCTCTGCTGCTGCTGCTGCTGCTGCTGCTGCTGCTGCTGCTGCTGCTGCTGGGGAGCTGGCAGCAGCAGCAGCAGTGCCGGCCTCTTCGTCAGCAGCAGCAGCAATTTGTTCTTCACCTGCAGCGGCAGCCTCCGCTGCAGCGGCAAGAGCACTCCCCCCCGCTGCGTCTGCTTCTGCTGCTGCTGCTGCTGCTGCTGCTGCTGCTGCTGCTGCTGCATTGTTGCTGCTGCTGATGTGAGCAGCAAGAGCTTCTTTCACAAACCCTTTAAGAATTTTCAGAATTTTCATTCCTTCATTTAGCTCGCGAATGCTGTCGCCCCTAATCTTCCCCTGAAACCAACCAAAGACAAGAGACTACAGCTAGCTAGCTAGCTAGCTAGCTATCTGGCTAGCTAGCTAGCTAGCTAGCTAGCTGGCTAGCTAGCTAGCTATCTGGCTAGGTTGATAGCTAGCTGGCTAGCTAGCTACCTCGAACGGCGAAGTGAGTAGCTAGCGAATTGGTTAACTAGCTGGCTAGCTAGCTAGCTAGCTGGATAACAAGCTGCCTAGCTAGCTAGCTAGCTAGCTAGCTAGCTAGCTAGCTAGCTAGCTAGCTAGCTAGCCACTGCTTGACTTAGCTAGCTAGCGGAGCTAGCTGACCTGGAAGAAGGAGGGGACAGTAATGACCACTTCGTACTCGAAGTCAATTTGGCTGCGGGGCGGCGGCGCCTCCCCGCTGGGATCGCCCGATCCCAAGGCGATCCCAGCGACCCCACACTTGGGATCGCCCGATCCCAAGACGATCCCACTCCTGGGATCGCCCGATCCCAAGACGATCCCACAGCCCCCGCCCCCGGGATCGCCAGCCCCCTGCGGGCCGTCGCCGGGATCGCCCGATCCCGAGACGATCCCAGGACTGTGGGGCCTGGGATCGCCCGATCCCAAGACGATCCCAGGCTTGTGGGGCCTGGGATCGCCCGATCCCAAGACGATCCCAGGGTTGTGGGGCCTGGGATCGCCCGATCCCAAGACGATCCCGGGGTTGTGGGGCCTGGGATCGCCCGATCCCAGGGCTGCTGGGGAGTTCAAAGCCACGAACTTGAGCCGCTGCCGCAAAAAGAAAGTCTCTGAATACGGAGGCCCCGAAAGGCTGCTGCAGATGTCGAGCAGCAGCAGCTGGGGTGTACATACACTGCAGCAGTAGCGCTCCCGCAGCAAACCCCGAGACGGCAGGCCCAAGATCCGAGTCAGCGAAGACTCCGGCACTGAAACGCAAACCCTAAACCCTAAACCCTAAACCCTAAACCCTAAACCCTCAGGTCTGGCCGCAGAGATGCTGCGCAGGCAGCAGGCGAGGTGCGCAGCGCAGACACGAGACCGTAAACCCTTAACTTCGAAAGATCCAGCAGCACAAACCCTAAACCCTAAACCCTAAACCCTAAACCCTAAACCCTAAACCCTAAGCTCCAAAACCCCAGGCAGTGGGACACAGGTGCATTTACACTAAACCCTAAACCCTTGGCACTCACATAGACCCAACCAGTAAACCCTTAGCTCCGAAAGCAGCGAGCATTACCGCATGCCCCTAAACCCTAAACCCTAAACCCTAAACCCTAAACCCTAAACCCTAGCGAATCGGACATTTGATGTCGGCGTCCAGCTCTCGAGAAATTTGGAAAAAGCGGCCGCTGAAAATTCCTCTTTTGGGGCATCTGATCTCGGCCTCCTCTGCTGCAGCAGCAGCAGCTGCTGCTGTTGCTGCTGCTGCTGCTCCATCTGCTGCTGTTGCTGTGCCTGCTGCTGCTACTCCGTCCGCTGGTGTTGCTGCACCACCTGCTGCTGCTGCTGCAGCAAACGCAGCAGCAGGGTCCCGCTCGAGGCCCTCTTCTATTGCTGCAGCAGGTTTGAACGATTCGGTTTTGCTGCTGCTGCTGGACTTCTCGTTGCTGCTGCTGCTGGCCTTCTCGTTGCTGCTGCTGCTGGCCTTCTCGTTGCTGCTGCTGCTGGCTTTCCCGTTGCTGCTGCAGCGCCGCCAGGGCTGAAAAGGCTGGGGGATTTTTGCCTCCTTCTCTTTCAAAGCGCTGAAGCAGCAGCAGCAGCAGCAGCAGCAGCAGCAACAGCAGCAATAAGGAAGGAGGAAAACCAACAGCAGAAACTGCTGCAGCAAACATCCATAGCTGCAGCTGCCTCAGCAAGAGCAGCAGCAAGAATGGCATCAGCAGCTGCAGCAACCACAGCTGCAAAAGCTCCAGCAGACGCAGCAACAACACAGGCAGCAGCAGCAGCAGCAGCAGCAGCAGCAGCAGCAGCAGCAGCAGCAGCACTAGCAGCAGCAGCAGCAGCAGCAGCAGCAAACCTCGTGAGGGGGCTTGTCTCGGGGTTCAGCACAACTGCTTCAAGAATCTCCTTGAGAGAAACGTCGCAAGTAAAGCTGCTGCCCTTTTCTTCTAGAGGCCGCAGCAGATCTGCTGCTGCTGCTGCTGCTGCAGCTCCTGCTGCTGCTGCTGCTGCAGGGTCGTCCCCCGCTGCTGCTGCTGCTGCTGCTGTTGCTGCTTCAACCTCTGCTGCAGTTGGGTACGGGCGTGCTTCAGAAACCTGGACGCAGGCAGCAGCAGCACGAGTGCAGCAGTAGCTACGCAGCACCAGAAACAGCAGCAGCAGCAGCAGCAGCAGCAGCAGCAGCAGCAGCAGCAGCAGCAGCTGAGCACCTCCTGCATGTTCAGCTTCCTCTCCCTCTTCTTTTCCGTCTTTGCTGCTTCCTCAGAAATTGCAGATGGGGCCGTTAAGCTCAAACCCTAAAAACCGCCATCAAACCCCAAACCCCCGACCATAAACCCTAAACCCTAAACCCTAAACCCTAAACCCTAAACCCTGCATTCTAGTAAGCAGAAGGCAGCTTTGTCTCTTACGTGCTTCGCTATCTTCTTGTAGATTTCCCACAGCGCGACTATAAAGTCGTAGGCCTGAACACCACAAACCCTAGACCCTAGACCCTAAACCCTAAACCCTAAACCCTAAACCCTAAACCCTTGGCACCAAGAAACTTCAGAAGAGGCAGGATAGCTCTGGGGTTTAGTGTTTAGGGTTCGACGCAAACTGCAACGGGAAGTTGAAAGCAGCAAGATATAGAAGAAAAGAAGTCCCCCAAGAGCAGCAGCAGCAGCAGCAGCAAAAGCAGCAGCAGCAGCAGCAACAGCATTGATGGCAACAGCAGCCGCCACCAAGGCAGCAGCAGCAGCAGCAGCAATAGCAGCAACGGCAGCAGCAGCAGCAGCAGCAATAGCAGCAACGGCAGCAGCAACCGCAGCAGCAATAGCGTATACAACGCAAGGGATACTGAAAACCGAGTGAAGCGCCCAGAATCCCAAACCCTAAACCCTAAACCCTAAACCCTAAACCCTAAAAGAGCGAATAACGAACTTTGTCTCTGTTGATAAAAGTGGCAAAGAAATGCCTCTCTCCATTCTCCAACTCAAACTCGATGCTGTTGTCGAAGAAAATGGCGTTCGTCCTCTTCCTGAGCCAAACCCTAAACCCTAAACCCTAAACCCTAAACCCTAAACCCTAAACCCTAAGCCCTAATCCCTGAACCCTAAACCCTAAACCCTCCTCCGCCCTGTCTACTTCGGCAACGACCAGTGGCAAAGGGCCCCGCTGGGAGAGAAAGCGCCTAAGGAGGATTTTAAGGCTTGGGGTTTAGGGTTTAGGGTTTAGGGTTTAGGGTTTGAGCATTTAAGTCCAGGGGGCAGTTGAGGGTTTAGGGTTTAGGAGTGAAAACGCTGCAGCGGCTGCAGCCTCGAGCTTCGCGGCGCTGGCTCCGCAGGGCCGAGGGTTTACGCCGGAGGGCCTAGGGTTTAGGGTTTAGGGTTTAGGGTTTAGGGTTTAGGGTTTGGAAGTACTTGATGGCAGCAACATTCAAGAAGTCAAACAGCAAAACTGTTTCTTGACCAAATAAAGTTGCTTCGTTGAAAAGAGAAACAAACGCGAGGCGGCTTTGCGTCACGTACAAGCGGCCCTGCAAACCCCAAACCCTAAACCCTAAACCCTAAACCCTAAACCCTAAACCCTAGACCCTAAACCCTACGCCCTAAACCCTAGGGGGCGCTAAACCCTGACCCGGAGCCGCGGCGGCTACAGGCGAAGCTGTACTGTGGCTGCTGCGCTCAAGAACAAAACCCTCGGCAGCAGCAGCAACAGCAGCAGCAGCAGCAGCAGCAACAGCAGCAGCAGCAGCAGCAGCAACAGCAGCACCTGGAGCAGTATGCGTCTGCTAAGGGCGCAGCTGTACGACTGCAGCACGAAATCGCGAATCCCGAACCTGCAATGGCATTCGTAAACCCTAAACCCTAAACCCTAAACCCTAAACCCTAAACCCTAAACCCTAGGAACCAACAACCTGCGAGAGCTGCTGCAGCAGAAGCCAAGCGGCATCGTTGGCAGCAGCCGCAGTGTCCGTTGCTGCTGCGGCTACTGAAGCTGCCAGTAGTTCTGCGGCTGCTGCTGCTGCTGCTGCTGCTGCTGCTGCTGCTGCTGCTGCAGGGTTTTACCTCTGAAGAAATTCATCTTGCCGCAGAGCCTCAGGAGCAGCAGGAGCAGCAGGAACAGCAGCAGCAGCAGGAGCAGCAGCAGGAGCAGCAGCAGCTGACCAAGAGCTGCTGTCGCCTTCCGATCGCAGGGACCGCAGTGGCCCGCCCTGAGCAGCAGCAGCAGCAGCACAAGCAGCAGCAGCAGCAGCAGCAGCAGCAGCAGCAGCAGCAGCAGCAGCAACAGCAGCAAAGTCGACTGTGAACTCTGCCGCAGAAGCAGCAACCCTTCGCTGCCTCGCGCACCAACGCACAACCCCCAGCGGCAACTAAACCCCGCAGCAGCAGCAGCAGCAACAGCAGCAGCAGCAGCAGCAGCAGCAGCAGCAGCACTTGCCGTTGCTGCTGCAGCACGGCGTCCGTCCAAAGAGAGCTGCGCTTCTCTGCGAAATCGCGAAGACCAAATAAAGGGGCCAGAAAACATTCCTCTTAGGGGGGGCTGGGCACTTGCTGCTGCAGTTTGCTGCTGCTGCTGCTGCTGCTGCTGCTGCTGCTGCTGCTGCTCCAGGAGGCCGACGCCTGGGGCTCGCTCGTCAGCCAGCGACAGGGACGAGCTGCAGCTGCTGCTGTTGCTGTTGCTGCTGCTGCTGCGCGGCTTATGGCCTGCTGCTGCTGGCGCTGCAGTGCCGCGGCTGCCGGCCACAGGAGCAGCAGCAGCAGCAGCAGCAGCAGCAGCAGCAGCAGCAGCAGCACCAGGAGCTGTTGAGGCTTCTGTTGAGGAAGCCAAATTGAAACTCAAGACTTTCAGGGAGTCCAAATCTCTCAAAGACACGCTGTCGCCCTCTAGCGTAGCAGCAGCTGCAGGCCCTGCTGCTGCTGCTGCTGCTGCTGCTGCTGCTGCTGCTGCTGCTGTCCCGCGCACCCAATCAGACTCAGATGAAGACGAAACAAGAGCAGGAGAGCTGGCGCTGACGACAAGACTTCTCGCTGCTGCTGCTGCTGCTGCTGGTGCTGCTGCTGCTGCTGCTGGCGCTGCTGCTGCTGGCGCTGCTGCTGCTGGTGCTGACGCTGCTGCTGCTGCTGCTGCTGGCGTGTCTTCTCGCTCTGCTGCTGCTGCCGGCCCGCTGGGGTACTGCTGGAGGGGTGAGGAGAAGTCCATTTTGCTGCTTCGCCGTCCTCTGCTGCTTCTCCTGCTGCTGCTGTTGCTGCTGCTGCTGCTGTTGCTGCTGCTGCTGCTGCTGCTGCGCCTGCTGCTGCTCGCTGCGAAGCCGTAGCTCTCGAAGCTGCTGCTTCTGCTGTAAGTAGGGCCACGCAAGTAGGACTCATCCGAGCAGCTGCTGCGTCTGCTGCCCTGCTGTTGCTGCTGTTGCTGCTGCTGTTGCTGCTGCTGTTGCTGCTGCTGTTGCTGCTGCCGCGCCCGCGTGTTGGCCTATGGCGGAAGCAGCGAAATCCGCAGCAGCAGCAGCAGCAGCAGCAGCGAGATCGATGGAACAAGCACTGCCACATTGTTCTTTAATCAAGGGATTCACCAGCAGCAGCAGCAGCAAAAGCACGGGCAGCAGCAGCAGCAGCAGCAGCAGCAGCAGCTAACCTTTCGGGCCAGTCGGCTCGTTTCTCTCTCCAGCAGCGGCAGACCGGCAAAAAAGGAATCATTGCTGCCGCAGCTGCAGCAGCAGCAGCAGCTGCTGCTGCTGCTGCAGCTGCTGGAGACAATATGGACCTTCTGCAGCCACCAAGCCAACGCCGGTGCTGCTGCAGGCGGAGCTGCAGCAGCAGAAACAGCAGCAGCAAACACACAAACAGCAGCAGACCACAATTGGGAGGTAGTAGCAGCAGCAGCAGCAGCAGCAGAAGCAATAGCATGCACAACGGCACCAACAGCAGCAGAAAACAGCAGAAGCAGCAAACCACAGCAGCAGCAGAAAGCAGCAGCAGAAAGCAGCAGCAGAAAGCAGCAGCAGCAGCAGCAGCAGAAAGCAGCAGCAGCATGCCGAGGCACCTCGGCATGCTGCTGCTGCTTCCTGCTGCTGCTGCAGTGCCCCCTATACATACTTCCGTTGCTGCTGCTGCACTGCTCCAAGGCGCTGTCTTTGGCAGCAACTGCTGCACTGCTTGCTGCTGCTGCTGCTGCTGCTGCTGCTGCTGCTGCGGTTGGAGTGGAGCATGCGAATTGGTCTTCTGGCACCCCGAGTGCAGCAGCAAGCAGCTCAGTGGCTTGCTGCTGCTGCTGCTGCTGCTGCTCTGCCTCCGCTCCTGCTGCTGCTGCTGCAGCTACAGCATGCAGATCTGCAGAGCCAGCAGCAGCAGCTTTGCTTGCTGCTGTGGACAAGAGCCGCAGCTGCGTGAGGCACAGCAGCAGCTGCTGCGCCTCTTCCTTTGCTGCTGCTGCTGCTGCTGCATGCAGCATCCGCTCTGCTGCGAGTAACTGCTGGTCTCTGTGCTGCTGCGGCGGCTCCTGCTGCAGCAGCAACTCTTCCTGAAACTCCATTTGCAGCTGCTGCTGCTGCTGCTGCAGCTGCTGCTGCTGCTTCCCAGAAGTCCCCTCAGCATCTAGAGGCACCGAGCCCCGCGTGCTGCTGCTGCTGCTCCAGGCAGCAGCAGCGCCAGCAGCAGAACAGCCGAGCCCTCCATCTGCAGCAGCAGCAGCAGCAGCAGCAGCAGCATCAGGAGGCGACGGCTGCAAGGTCTTTGTCTGTGCTGCTGACGCCCGCTGCTGCTGCTGCAGCTGCTGCAGCAGCAGGGCTGCTGTTTTGAGTTTGCTTGCTGCTACTTCTAGCTGCGGCACTACCCGAAGCTGCAGCTGTGCTGCTGCGTCGTTCCACTGCTGCTGCTGCTGCTCTGCTGCTGCTGCTGCTGTTCTGCAAGCGCTTGCATACTCTGCCCATCTGACAGTGGCAGCGGCGGCTGTTGCCTGCTGCTGCTGCTGCTGCTGCTGCTGCAGTAGCAGCAGCAGCCCCTGCGGCGACTGCGGAGGGGACATGCGCTGCTGCAGCTGCCGCTGCACGTCTGTGTACTTGTGTTGCTGTTGCTGCTGCTGCTGCTGCTGCTGCTCTGCTGCTGCTGCAGCAGCAACGCGCAGCTGCCGAACATACTCCCCCAAAGCCTCAGCCACAGACTGCGCCAGCGCATGCACAAGCTTTGCAGTTTTGCTGCTGCTTCTTGTCCTTTCGGTTTGCTGCTTTGCTGCAGCAGCAGCAGCAGCAAAGCGCTCTGCTGCGCTGCAGCTGCTGCTGCTGCTGCTGCTGGAGGGGTCCGGTGAGCCATTTGCGGGTGAATGTCCTGTTGCGGCTGCTGCAGCAGCAGGAGCAGCAGCAGCAGCAGCAGCAGCCAGCGCTGCCTGTAGCTGCTGCTGCTGCGCAGCAGCAGGACGCTCTGTCTGCTGCAGGGCCAGCGACTCGTGCTGCAGCAGCACCCTGAGGAGCCTGAGGACTTGCTGCTGCTGCTGCTGCTGCTGCTGCAGCCGCTGCTGCAGCTGCTGCTCGAGCGAAGCAAAGCGGCAGCAGATCTGCTGCTGCGCAGCAGCCTCTGCTGCAGCACGAGCTGTACGTACACTCAAAAGCTGCTGCAGAGCCCGCAGGGCCAGAGACACCTGAATGCGGCTTCTCCTTCTTTCAGTGTATGCTGCTGCTGCTGCTGCTGCTGCTGCTGTGTACAGCTGCTGCTGCTGCTGCTGCTGCAGCTGGCGGTGCTGCTGTTGCCGGCGCTGTGCTGCAGCAGCAGCAGCAGCCTGAACCGCCTCCAGGGATTCCTCTGCTGCTGCTGCTGCTGCTGTGTAGCGAGCTGCTGCTGCTGCGTCGCTCTGCTGCGCTTGCCTTAAGCTGCTGGCGATCTGCTGCTGCAGCTGCTGCAGCTGCTGCTGCTGCTGCCGAAGAGCCTGCCGCTGCGCTGCAGCTGCTGCTGCTTCCTGCTGGAACTGCTCAGCAGCAGCACCATGCTGCTGCTGCTGCTTCTGCAGGAGCAGCAGCAGCAGCGCCAAAAAATGTTCTTTGCTGCTGCAGCTGACACAGCTAAGACGTGGCTGCTGCTGCTGCGCTTCTCCATCTGCTGCTGCTGCTGTTGCTGCTGCCGGTGCTGCAGCGGCTGCTGCTGCTGCTGCTAGCCTCTGTACGTCCGAAAAGACACCAGGCTGCTCAGCAGCAGCAACTCTAGCTGCTGCTGCTGCTGCTGATGCTGCCTCACTTGTCTGGAGGCCTTTGCTGCTGCTGCTGCTGCTGCTGCTGTCGCAAGCTGCCGAGGCTTGTTGCAGGGCGCTGCAGCTGCTGCTGCAGCAGCTACACGAGCAGCAGCTGGCTTTTGCTGCTGCTGCAGTGCACCGCGCCCTCAGTGCTGCTGCTGCTGCTGAAAGGCTGCTGCATAGCTGCCTCTCAGCAGCAGCACAGGCCTCGAAAAAGTCCGCTAGCTGCTGCTGCTGCTGCTGCTCTGCATGCAGCAGCAGCAAATGAGCAGCCAGCGGAGCCTCCGCCGAGACACATATAATTCCTCTGCTGCTGCTCCGGCTGCTTTTGCTGCTGCTGCTGCTGCTGCTGCTGCTGCTGCTTCTATTACTCCTCCTTATCCAAGCAGCAGCAGCACGCTGCGAGAGAAGGGGCCGCATGGCCGCTTCACGCGGCAGCTGCAGCAGCAGCTGCTGCTGCTGCAGCTCTTCCTGGCGCTGCTGCTGCTGCTGCTGCTGCTGCTGCTGCTGCTTGCTCTGCTGATGTTCGGGGAGAGTTCGTTCTGCACAGCTTGCTGCTGCTGCTGCTGCTGCAGTTGCTGCTGCGGCTGCTGCTTTGTTCGGCTTGCGGGATTTTCAGTTAGTGTTGGTGCTGCTGTGGAGCAAGTGCAGAGGCAGCAACTGCTGCCTCTGCTGCTGTTGCTGCTGTTGCTGCTGCTGCTGCTGTCTGCAGCAGCTGCTGCTGCTACTAATGCAGCAGCGTCAAAAGTTCGGCTGCTGCTGCTGCTAGCTGCGCCGCTGCTGCTGCTGCTGCCAGAGCTGGTGAGAATGTTGCTACAGTCGCTGCCGCTGCTGCGGCTGCTGCAGTGTTGCTACAGTGGAAGCTGCTGCTGCTGCAGCAGCTGCTGCTGCAGCTGCTGCTGAAGCAGCTGCTGCTGAAGCAGCAGCTGCTATAGCTGCTCTTGCTGCAGCAGCAGCTGCTGCTGCTGCCTCAAGTGTGTGTCGAATTACGTGCTGCTGCTACATTACAGGTGAGCCCGAGAAGGTTTCGGGGTTTTAAGGCCTGCTGCTGCTTCGTCAGCTGTGTCTGCTGCTGCTGCTGCTGCTGCTGCTGCTGCTGTTGCTGCTGCGAGTCAGTTGTAACACATGCAGCAGCGGCAGCAGCAGCAGCACAGCGGCGACACCTGCGCTACAGCAAAAAAGAGGACTGAGAGAATGGGATCTTAAGCGAGTCGCAGCATGACCTGCAGCAGCAGCAGCAGCAGCAGCGGCAGCAGCAGCAGCAGCAGGCTCATCTCGCCCGTTCTAGCAGCTGTTTGCTGCTGCTGTTGCTGCTGCTGCTGCTAATAAGCAGCAGTCTAGCTAGCTGCTCGATAACTTATAAAAGCCAATTCAAATTAAAGATTTCTGCGCTGCACGTTTATCCGAGCACCTGCAGCAGGGTGGACCTGCAGCAGCAGCAGGGGTGGACCTGCAGCAGCAGCAGCAGCCGCTGCTGCTGCTGCTGTGCTCCTGCGCATGCAGCAGAAGCTGCTGCAGCACCGCCAGCAGCTATTACGCCTCATAATCTTCCAAATCCTTCCGTTTTTCTTTTTGTTTTTTGCTGCTTCCTCCTTGCTGCAGCAATCCCTGTATCCAAACAGCACTTCCGAGCTGCAGCAGCAGCAGCAGCAGCAGCAGCAGCAGCAGTGTCGGGAAGAGCAGTCGGTGACACTTCGGGGACAAACACGGCAGCCACGAAGCAGCAGAAGCAGAAGCAGCAGAGTAAAAGGCAGCAGCAGCTGCAGCAGCAGCTGCGGCAACTGAAGCAGCAGCAGCAGCAACAGCAGCAGCAGCAGCAGCAGCAGCAGCAGCAGCAGCACCTGCAGCACCATGTCGAGCGACGAAGATGAAATGCGGCGGCTGCGCGAAACCAGCAGCTACGCTGCAGCAGCTAAGGACCGGCAGCAGCAGCAGCGGCATGCAGCAGCAGCAGCAGCAGCAGCAGCAGCACGACGCACAGTTGCTGCTGCAGAAGACAGCAGCAGCAGCGACGACGACAGCTTCGGCCCGCGGCCGTTGAGCACAGCAGCAGCAGCAGCAGCAGCAGCAGCACCGCGAGGCCTCAGAAGCTGCAAAGAAGAAGACCCGGAGGACCTTCCCACAGCAGCAGCAGCAGCAGCAGCAGCAGCAGCAGCAGCAGCAGCAGAGTCTGAGGAAAGCGAAGAAGATGATGTTGCAGTTGACGAATCTGCTGCTGCTGCTCTTGCTGCTATGGGCCTTCCCTCCAGCTTCGGGGGCGAGCTGCTGCTGCAGCCGAAGGGGCGCAGCAAAAAGAGCAGCAGGAGCAGCAGCAGCGGGAAGCGCAGCAACAGCAGCAGCACGCGCGCCAGCAGCAGCAGCAGCAGGGCCCTCGACTCTCTCACGAAGAGAGAGCCTTCAGCAGATGCTGCTGCTGCTGCTGCTGCTGCGAGCAGCAGCAGCAGCAGCAGCAGCAGCAGCAAGCTGGTGAACACAGGCTTGTATGAGGAGTTGGACCCGTGGCTGTCCCCGGTGTTTGCTGGCTGGCGAGAAGGCGCAGCAGACGCAGCAGCAGCAGACGCAGCAGCAGCAGCAGACGCAGCAGCAGCAGCAGCAGCAGCAGACTCAGCAGCAGCAGCAGCAGCAGCAGCAGCAGCAGCAGCAGCAGAACTGCCTCTGTATGGCCGCTTCTCGCTGGACTGCCACGGCCCCACATCCACCACGGCTTTTCGCCTTTCGGCCGCTGGGACCCATTTGGTATTTCTTTGCAAATAAATAATTAATTAAATTAAATTAATTAAATTAATTAAATTAAATTAAATTAAATTAATTAAATTAAATTAATTAAATTAAATTAATTAAATTAAATTAAATTAATTAAATTAATTAAATTGAATTGTTTATGACGGATTTGAAGTGTACTGACAGCTGCTTTGGGAGGCTGCGGTGTATCTGCAGTGGTGCCTTTCTTTTGCTTCTCCTTTTCCTCGCTTTGCTGCTGCTGCTGCTGCTGTTGCTGCTGCTGCTGCTGTTGTTGCTGCTGCTGCTGCTGCTGCTGCTGCTGCTGCTGGTAGCGTGTCTTTCCTTTGTGTTGCTGCTGCTGCTGCCGCACTTCACCACGTAGAGCAGCAGCGGCACTGCTGCTGCTGCTGCAGCGCGTCAACCGCCTGTTGTATCTCCATGCCGTTTTCGCCGCCGGCTCTGCTGCTGCTGCTGCTGCTGCTGCTGCTGCTGCTGCTGCTGCTGCTGCTGCTGCTGCTGCTGCTGCAGGCGAGCGGGAGCGCGGACGGAGTGGTGCGTTTGTTTGACTTGAATTCTGCGGGGAGTTTGCGGACTTTGGATTATTACAAGTCGGTAAGTGTGCAGCAGCAGCAGCGGATTTGCTGCTTGGCGTACGGCAGCAGCAGCAGCAGCAGGGGGCTGCTGGGGGTCAGCAGCGGCAGCAGCTGCTGCTACCTGCTGAGCAGCGAGGGTTTGCTGCTGCAGCAAACCACGCGGGGCGACCAGTACATCAGGGACTGCAGCAGCACGAAGGGCCACACGCATGCAGTCCGGGATATTTGCTTCCATGCTGCTGCAGCAAACTGCTTCCTGACAGCAGCAGCAGATGGGACTTGCAGGTTGTGGGACTTGTGGGGTCCTTGCTGCGGCATGGACCAGTCCTTGGCAGCAGTTTGCTGCTTGAAGGCCCTCGACAGCAGGGGCTGCTGCAGCAACAACTGCACTTGCTGCTGCTGCTTGTACGCGCCAGCAGCAGCAGCAGCAAACGCCGTCGTCGCCGGCTGCAGCGACGGCTCGCTGCAGCTGTGGGGCGCAGCAGCAGCAGCAGCAGCAGCGCGCAGCAGCAAACCCGACCTCATCCTGCGCCTCGCGCACCCCCCCGCCCACCTGCTGCAGCAGCAGCAGCAGCAGCAGCAGCAGCAGCAGCAGCGGCGGGGCCGCTTCATGGGCATGGCCGCGGCGCCCCGAGACACCGAGTGTGGGGTTGCTGCCATGGCCTTTGCTGCTGACGGCAGGTGTCTGTACACCCGAGGACTTGACGGATCTCTTTGTCTTTTTGATCTTCGAAAGTTTTCAAAAGAAGTTTTTCGAATTCCAAACTTGCCAACAGCTTTTCCGCAGCAAGGAGTTGCTGTTTCTCCCTGCGGCCGCTTCGTCTGCACGGCCACGCAGCAGCAGCAGCAGCAGCAGCAGCAGCAGCAGCAGCAGCAGCAGCAGCAGCAGCAGCAGCGGGGGCGGCGGCGGGGGTTTTGCGGGGAGCTGCGGGGGTACTGCAGCAAAACGGGGAAAGCAGCTTTTGCTGTTGAGTTTGCTGCTGCAGCACCAACAGCAATTCAGTGGCATGCAGACACGGGAGATTTGGTTTGCTGCTGCTCGGACGGGCTGCTGCGCGTGTGCTTCTCGCGCGCTGCTGCTGCTGCTGCTGCTGCTGCTGCTGCTCCCGCTGCAGCAGCAGCAGCAGCAGCAGGAGCAGCAGCGCGGGGGAAGGGCTTCGCGCGGCTGGCGGCGGGGCCCGCAGCAGCAGCAGCAGCAGCAGCAAAGGCGTCGCGGCGGCAGCAGGAACGGGAAGAACACGAGCAGCAGCAGCTGCTGCTGCAGCAGCAGCAGCAAAACATTTTCGCGGGCGACGCGCTGCCGCAGGGCTTCGTGGAAGCAGCAGATGGCCGACTTGTCCGAAAAAGAATTAAATTAAAAGAAAAAGAAAAACTTTTTGAAGAAACTCAAAAAACAAAACTGCCGCCGCTTCCCGAGCAGCGGGGCAGCAGCAGCAGCAGCAGCCGCAGCCTGCAGCTGCTGCAGCAGCTGCGCCTGGTGCCCACGCCGCAGCAGCAGCAGCAGCAGCAGCAGCAGCAGCAGCAGCAGCTCCCCGGGGCCACCGACGCGCAGGCCTTCCTCAAGGGAGTCGACAGCAGCAGCAAACTAACTTGGACTTCTACTTTTATTTCCAGAGCTTATGCAAAGACAGCCCCACAGCCCATTCTTGCTGCTGCTGAAGAGCCAGACGCAG